ATTACTATCGATTCCCCAATTCGTACGGCGAGTCTGGTCCGATCTCTTCGTCCTCCTTCTTGGCATGTGACCGTTGGAAGAAGAGTGGAAGGATGCGCATCTTGCGGCGCGAGGGTGAGAGGGAGCGGCGTGGTGACGATGTGCCTGATGCGAGGGGTGTGTAACGGGCGTGCTTCGAGCCCAGGGACAGGACGCGACGGTAGATTCGCCAGAGCGCCAGGCCGACGATGCCTGCCGCGAGAAAACCGGAGAAGGTGATGAGCATCCAATGGCTCCCCATCTGCATGACCAATGTCTGGTTAGAAGAAAAAGAAAAGAAAAAAAAGATACATGATACAATGAAACATCGGCGAAACGTACCCAGAAGATGAGCTGTGCATCCTCGCCGTGCCAGCTGCTGCCAGGGTGGTGAGTGAAGAAACTCCAGGAGTGGCGGTTGTACGCATCCTGCAGCAGAACTCGCACACGGTTGACGCCGTCCGGGTCGGTGTTCTTGTATTCCTTCCAGATGACGGAGAGGAAGAGCGGGCCGGTCGAGTACATGACGGTGATGTAAGGGAGCACCCAGGCGCGGTCATATGCCTGCAGTGACTTGATAACCCTCAGAAAGAAAGGGTGGTTGGGGACAGAGCCCATGGCATCGTTGGAGATGCCTGTAGGGGCTGTCCGGCGTACCCAGGCAGGGTAAGAGAGCAGCGGGTCAAGGCGTCGGTTGCAACCCTGCATATATTGCACTGCATTAGCACCAATCGCATTCTTCTTCTTGATGTTGTTCGTCTTTTTCTTCGTCGTCTTCTTCTTCCTCTTCTTCTCATTCGTATAAAGGTAGATAGGGGGTAAAAGTGGGAGATGGGGAGGCTGATGGAGGGGTACAAACGTCGTCAAGGTCAATGTATGTGCCACCGTAGTGTGCGAGAATGAAGTAGCGGATCGAGTCCGCCCGCTGGATGGGAAAGGGGTAGTTGTCGAACGTGGTGAGGAACCATGGGTAGTGCTCGGCGATGAAGTCCCTTGATTTCTTGTCCGTCCAGAGCTAGCGCGGCCTGTCAGTTGGAAAAAAGTAGCTAGATAAGAAGGATAGAGGTACGAGGGAAGCTCACGATGTATTCGTAGTCTGGGTGCATCTCTATGCAGCCGTTCCGCGGGCCAACCCATATCTCAGGTATGCTCTCGTTCTTGTAGGTCTGGTGGATGATCTTGGGGATCAATTGGGGCCGCAGGTCGATGAGGCTGGAGTTGACCCCGGGGAGCTCGACGTTCTGGATAGCGTCGTCGGTGGCATCCTCGACGAGCAAGGTGAGCAAGGTGAAGACGCTGCGGACGAGGAAGAGGATGATGACCGTGTTGATGAGGAGGAAGATGAGCAGGCCGCGCCGCATAGTGACTGTTGGCTGAGATGTTGGAGGAGGAGGAGGAGGGAGCTCTCTGGCGTCTGCTAGGAGACGAGCGCGTTACTCGTCGTAGTCGATGCCCTGAAGACCGCGGACGAGACCATCCAGGCTGTCGTCTAACTCGATATCTCGTCGTCTTGCTGTCTTTTCTATCTTTTGGCCGTCTTGTATGTCGTTTGTCTCTGGCTCAACGCAGCAGCAGCAGCAGAAGGAGTGAAAGATAAAAAGATAAAAAAAAAAAAAAAAGGCTGAAAATCCCCCTTGAAACCTCGCAATGGCCCAAGGAAAAAGGCCCGGGATGCGTCTTTAGTGCAGAGCAATAAATTATGGGTTTTAAGGAACGGAGCAGACGCAAGGATTTCGAAGCCCCTGGACTCGTATCGCTAAGTCGGTCGATCAGCCACAAGCAACAGCGCGATCGCAGCAGCAGATGAAGCACAAGACGACGCAGCAAGCGAGATGCCAGACAGCAGCAGCAGCAGCAGCAGCAGCATCAAAAGGACAGAGTAGAAAGGGAAGTACGTAAGTACGCGAGTAGCTCTCTCTGCGTCTCAGGGATATGCGAGATGACGGCGGCCACAGCCACAAGCCGCAGGGGGAGGCGACGGCGGCCAAGAGGAAGAGAGCTGCTTCTCCAGCCGGCGCAGAGTCGAGATGAAACAGCTGGGGATGTTTCTCTTCTTCTTCTCTTCTTCTTCTCTTATTATTATTCTTCTTTTCTGCTTCCTCTTCTTCCTCTTCTCTGCGACTTTTTCTTCTCCTTTTGCTGTCTTTTTTTTTCTGCGGCGACGAAGAGAATTTTGGACGTTTTTGAAAGTCGAAGAAAAAGAAAGGAAAAATAAAAGAAAATAAAAAGAAAAGAAAAGAAAAATCAAAAGGAGCCGAGGATGATTCTCTCGCTGTGACTGTCGATGGAAGTGATAATATATTTCTGCTTCTCTAAGTACTTCTACTTCATCATCGCCATCCTTCTTTTATTTCATTTTATTTATCATCTTTATATCCTCGTCGTCGCCGTCGCCGTCGTCGTCTCTTTTCTGGCCATTTTGAGTGTCATTCAAGGGTTGAGCTTAGTCAGCTAAGCCTCCCTCTAAAAATCTCCGTCGAAAACGCCGAAGAGAAAAGGAAGAAAAGGCTGCGATGGAAGCTCGATGGAGGCTCGATGGAGGGAACAAGGCTGCTGCCAGGCCACTGCTAGGCCACTGCTAGGCCACTGCTAGGCCTGCCGCCGCCAGCCAGCGCTGCATCGCGCCCACCGTGGCCTCCGAGTCTTCCTCCGCCACGAAATGGCCGACGCCTTCCTGCGCCTGCACGACCGTCAGCAGCTGCTCGTCCTCAACCCACGCCTGCCACGCCCGCCGCACGTCGAACCGCCGTCCCATCGCCCGGCAGTGCAGCACCAGCACGGGGACCCCCATCCGCCGCCCCGCCGCCTGGTCGCGCTGCTGCGCCTGCACGTCTTCCCGGCTGCCAGCCTCGTAGTCCGCGCACGAGCTGCGCACCACGCTCTCCAGCTGCCGGAAGGGCCGCGAGTACATCTCCAGCGCATCGTCGGCCTCGAACCGCGCGATGGCCGCCTCGCTGCTCCCGCGCCAGCGCTCCATCATCTGCCGCACAAACACCTCTGCGCCCACCGCCTGGATCATCGTGCTCGCCAGCTCGGCGTTGGCCAGGAACGGCCAGTGGAACGTGTTGCGCGCCTCGGCCGGGTCTGCCAGTGCTGCCCACTGCACGCTCGTCGGCACAATGTCCAGCAGAGCGGTCGCCAGGATAGTGAATGTCGGGGAGTGCTCGGCTGCGTCGACCGCCAGCCGGTGGCAGATGCGGGCGCCTCTGTCGTGGCCTATAAGCACGATGCGGTGCGACTGGCCACTGCCATTGTCTTTGCGTGTATTATCATCACTATTAGAGTTGGAGCTGTCCAGCATCGCCTCCAGGGCCCCCAGTATCGCCCTGCCTACGGTCCGTTTGTCGCTGGCCGTGGGCGGTGAACTCACGCCGTAGCCCGGGATATCAGGGACGAAGAGCCGGGCCTCGCGGGGCAGCAGCTTGATGACCTGGCAGAGCACGACGTCAGTAAAAACCTCCCTCTCTGTAGAAAGCCATGGATGTCTTCCCAGGGCCAAAACTTACATGGCGCCACCTACGTCGTGGTGCGTCAGTGCCCATGCAGGTCATTTCACCCTGTACTCTGTAACAGCGGCTGCCATGCTTGCTTGTGCTATGAATAGACAACTCACATGAAATGCCTGGCTCGCGAATCAGCGTCAGCACGGCTTCTATGTAAGGATCTGCCTGGCAAGAGGTAACTAGTTATGTATCCCCCGCAGCCAACGCAGCCAAGGAAGACGAACGAGGCAGTGTTTGTTTCGACTTACGTCTGCGGGTATCCATGTATCAGCACCAGTATCGGCTTCGCGGCCTCGTCTGCGCTGGTGGCCGTCGTGATGCCGCGAGAGAGACCGCGCACCGTTGACCCAGACTCGGGCTCGCACACTTCAAACGTCGACAGGCCATGGCCGGCCATGCACTGGGCCACTCCCAGAACGACCATGCTGGATGCGATCTCTCTTCTTTCGCTGTTGGGTGTTGGGCCGGGGGAGGGGGGGGTGGATGTCCTCGGTCGTAAGTCAGCTCAGCTGTTGGCATGCAAGTGGACAGTGGACTGCTGATGAATTTATACGACGGTGATTATAAATCCGACGCGGGGATGAAGTCAATCGACGTCAAGCAGGATACACGGAGAGATACTTACATAGATACACCGGGGGGCTTCGGCTTCATCAACGATCACCATGAAGCAAGCTTGGCCTCCCCGGTGATGTCATTCGAAGACGGAATCTAGACGTCATGCAGTTATCAGATACGTACATCTCCATTTATTACATGTTTATAGTAATACTAGGTACATAATCATGATATCAGCAACTATCTTCTTCTGACACAGGTGGTAGCCTCTAAGCGACAGTGTACCTGGCCCGTTAGGAGTGGAGTTGCTTAGAAGAAGTTTCCAGTAGAGAAATATGGACAATCAACATGATATATAGTAAAGTCTACAGTAGCAATAAAGGAGGAGTAACCCTAAAGCCATCGATAAAATCAGATGAAGGAGAGAGATCACTGGTCACGATCAAGCTTGATATCAGTGGCCTGAATCCTACGAAATGGCCCGGCACAACATTGGGTGTTGGTTTACGTTAAAAGGATGTAAGGGATATTATCGCAGGGCTTGCTAAGTGTGTACAAAATTCGAAGAACATAGTATGACTGGATCCCAGAGAATTCCAAAAATGAGAAAAAGTTCACACCTTGATTGCTGTTGAGGACTCAGGATACCGCAGAGACGTTCCTCCCAGAACTCGTAAGCTCGGCGGTACATTCCCTATATATATTACAGTATCTTAGTTCATCATTGTCCATAAATGTGAAAAGAACAAGGTTGACAGCCAGGAAAAAGAATGCGAGAAGTCGACTGTCGCCTGGTGGCTATTAAATAGTCCAGAGCTGGAGTTCCATTAACCGGCAGTCACGTAAGGACGACGTCATGGATCCCGTCCCTACCTAAACACTGGAGAGCTAGTTATTCAAGCGCAACAACCTTATCACGGTGAGCGCGGAACAACGTTGATCCAATAAAATTTGCAGTGCATTGGAACCAGTGGCTGATAAGTTGCTAGTCGGGTATCGAGACTTAACAACTCTCTAACATTAAGTGATAAGTTGCTCCGCTATATAAACCAGGCTGTGCGCTTTTACTCGGGGTTATGTCTATAGAAGGCGAGATGTGAATCCCAAATTTGGGGTATATCCCGGTCTTCGATAAAAATAAATTCCGCAGAGCACATAGGTTTCCATGATAGTATCATGCAAACCCCAATCTTTTCCTTTTGGAAAATGGGAAATGGGTCATAGCCAGGTAAGTTACGCCAAGTTGCAATGCAGGGCATGGGTATATGTAGATAACTTTTTCGGTGGCTTGCTTCCGTGCAGCAGTTCAAGCAGGGGAGGCAGAAATCCATAATATAAGACTTTATATAGAATTATCGAGGGCAGGGTATAACATTGCGAAACAGAGACATGCTCGGCCGCTGTCTATCGCTAGTATTTAAGTAACAACAAACATGCCTGTGTATATCAGTCAATGTCTTGCATTCTGTCTGGCCTGCAGTCGAAATGGAAATTGGAAGAGAGCGCCACGTGACTAAACGTGATTTCCACGTGGCAAAAAGCTTGGCATAGCTAACCTTACTTAATTTTCTCTCGAAGTCGCTCCAAGCCGGCGCTTTATGGAATTAATTATATTAATTATCATGGGAACTTAGGTCGGCGCTTCAACGGCATCTTTGTTCCTTTTTTGTCTCCAGGTGCGCCTCTTTTGCGTCTAGGCCGTTCGAGGTTCTGCAGTGCTCCGAAGTATAGGCGAAGAAAAGAGACTTGACTCACGACAGCGGGGGCCCCTCCTTGCTCTTGAATCTCAAAATGTTGGCAAAAAAATAGAACTCAAGTCTTGCTATTAATTAGTTGGCTAGTCGCTCAGCTGGGGACTGTCGCCGGTTTTTAAATCCAAGATTCCATCCTCAAAGCTGTATGATCTTCTGAAATGAGACTCTTGGTTTTTTTTTTTTTTTTTTTTTTATTT